TTCCATTTGACCTTTCCTGGGTTGTATTTTTTATGATAAACTAGTAAGCATAACTACATTGTTTTGCTGAGTTCTGTGAGCAGCTTGACCTAATTATTGAACTTGAGGAACATTGTGGGAGTCCCCTTTTTTTTTTTTTTCAAGTTGGAGTCTCACTCTGTCACCCAGGCTGGAGTACAATGGCGTGGTCTTGGCCTCAGCCTCCAAAGTAGCTGGGACTACAGGCGTGTGCCACCAGACCCAGCTAATTTTTTAATTTTTAGTTGAGACAGGGTTTCTCCATGTTGGCCAAGCTGATCTCAATCTCCTGACCTCAGGTGATCCGCCCGCCTCAGCTTCCCAAAGTGCTGGGATTACAGGCATAAGCCACCGTGCCCGGCCCATGTCTTTGTTATTGCAAACAGTGCTGTAATAAACATGCATGTGCATATGCCTTTATGGTAGAATAGTTTATATTTCTTTTGGTATATGCCCAATTTGAAGGTTGCTGGGACAAATAGTAATTCTGTTTTCAGTTCTGTGAGGAATCGCCACACTGCTTTTCACAGTGGTTGAACTAGTTTACCCTTCTGCCAGCAGTGTATGAACATTCCATTTTCTCTGCAACCTTGCCAGCATCTGTTACTGACTTTTTTGTTTTTGAGACAGTCTCACTGTGTCACCCAGGCTGGAGTGCAGTAGTGTGATCTCAACTCATTGTAACCTTCACCTCTTATGTTCAATAGATTATCGTGTCTTAGTTTCCAGCACATCTTAGCTGGAACTACAGATGTGCACCACCAATCCTAATTTTTGTATTTTTAGTGAAGATGGGGTTTTTCCATGTTGGCTGGGTTGCTCTCAAACTGATGATGTCAAATGAGTTACCCACCTTAACCTCCCAAAGTGCCTTTTAGTGACTTTCTAATAGCAGCCATTCTGACTGCTGTGAGATGGTATCTCATTTTTTCTTTTTGATTTCTCCAGTGATTAGTGATGAACATTTTTTGCACATCCTTGTTAGCCACGTTTGTTTTGTTTTTAAAAACAACTTTTCATGTTTTTTGCCTACTCTTTAATGAAGGTTTTTTGTTTGTTTGTTTGTTTATAAACTTGCTTCTTTATGAATTCTGGATATTAAACCTTTGTTAGGAACATAGTCTGCCAATATTTTTATTTATTTGGTATGTTGTCTGATTACTCCGTTGATAGTTTCCTTTGCTGTGAAGAAGCTTCTTAGTTTAATTAGGTCCCATTTGTCAATTTTTGCCTTTATTGCAGTTCCTTTTGTTATCTTCCTCATAAAATCTTTGCTCGTTCCTATGCCTACAATGGCATTTTCTTGGTTATTTATCTTCCAGGGTTTTAAAAATAATTTTAAGTTTTGCATTTAAGTCTTTATTTTCATATATATATATATATATATATATATATA